CACCCATCCCTTCCCCACCCCACACACAACACCATCCTCCCCACACATACAGATCACCCCCTTCCCTGCAAACCTCCCCACACACCCCACCCCCAACACCGACCCACTCCCCATTCCACACACACCATTCCCTCCCCCCACATTCAGATCACCCCACCTTGCCTTCTCCCGCACTCCTCCCCCCCACAACACCATCCCCATCCCCATCCCCCACATCAGCCCCTCCCCAAATTCCTCCCTCCACAACACCATCCCCTCCATCACAAATTTCCCCCCACAATGCACACCCCCACATAAACTTCCCCCTACCTCCACATATCTCCCCCACATTCCCTCCCTCACATAATCCCCTCCCCTCTTCCAAACACCCTCTACAATACCCCCCAACCACTCCCCTCAGAACACCAGCCTTCCCCTCCCCAGCTCCCCCCAACAATCTCCCCTCCCCCCTCACTGTCGGAGCTTCTGATTCCCATTGAAAATTCCATCATGTTACACAAACACTGGAACATTGGTCAGCTTTTCTCCTTCATGTAATGATTTACCAAATAAAGTTCCATCTCTGTCTGATCTTCTGCATTTGACCTTTATCCACATATTTCCCTATGTCCTGTCTTTTACTTCCCTGAGTCTGGTTGGTATGTGTGGCTATATCTTTTATCTATGTTTTGGATTGTTCCTGCTGTGTTTATGTTGTGGTGTGTGCGCATGTGTGAGTGTGTGTGTGTCTGTGCAACACACCTTTGTGTGTGTGTTTGTGTTTGTGTGTGTGTGTCTGTGCTGCATGCCTGTGTGTCTGTGTATATGTGCATGTATGTCTGTGTGTATGTCTGCATACGTTTGCAAGTATATCTATGTGTGTGTGTCTGTGTGTCTGTGTATGTGTGTGTGTCTGTGTATTGTGTATGTGTGTGTGCGCACGTGTGTTTGTGTGTGTATGTGTGTGTGTGTGTGTGTATATTTATGTCTGTATGTGTTTCTGTCTGTCATTTCCTCCCTGTTTCTGAGCTTGTTTCCTCTCTGACTCTCAGTATTGTAGTGCGATTTGCTATGCTCAAATTGGCCAGGGGCTTTTCTGCTGACAACTGTGACAAGGCTTCAAAATACATGCCTATCCCCTTCCTAACTCCCTACCTACACTCACCTTTCCTGGCCCCATCCCCGCCTCTTCGACCTGTTTGTTTCCTCTCCACCTATCCTCTCCTCTATCCCTCTTCTATCCGCCTCCCACTCTCTCCCTATTTATTTCAAAACCCCCTTCCCCTCCCCCTTTTCTGATGAAGGGTCTAGGCCCGAAACGTCAGCCTCTCTGCTCCTATGATGCTGCTTGGCCTGCTGTGTTCATCCAGCCCTGCACCTTGTTGTCTCGGATTCTCCAGCATCTGCAGTTCCTACTATCTCTGCCTCATTAGCTCTCTGGAGTTGTTTGGGATATCCTGGGATTGTGAAAGGCGCTATGGAAATGCAGATTCATGTTTGTCCCGCTGCTGGGACATGGCTTCATGCCGAGTTGGATAACAGTATTGAGTCGAGTGCCACAGTGTTTACAAGTATTGCTCCTCATCCATTTACTCATTTTGCTTCTGCCCCTTGCCACTTCCTGTGGGACCAGTGAGAAGGATCTCTTCAAATGAATTCGCACATTTAATGTCTCAAAGCACTTGTGAAAAAGCAATATTTTTCCACTGAGTGTTAAAACATCACAGCCATTCTGCGTGATGAGTTTCTCCCTACTGCTCTGCCCCCACAAAACAGTTACTGGAGACGTGAATTTGATCCATTTCTCGCTGCTGTCTGGGAGAAGGAATCTTGACAGTCCAATCACAAGAAAAGCTCTCCTTGTTTCATTTAAATTGTGCCGTGAGATGTTTAATGCCCACTTGAGCAGGTTACTGGAGGCTCGGTTAGACCCCTGATCTCAGAGACTGCAGTAAATGCCCTTAACCTCACTCCACCAGTTCAGCCAAAGGAAGAAAACCTTGCATTTATATAGCGCCCTTGATCAACATTATTCATTGCAAAGCATATAGCAGCTAATTACATCCATTTTTAAAACAAAATTATTTCCTGGGTTGTAGGCATCATGTGTAATGTCAGCATTTTGTTAATTGCCCCTTGAACTGAGTGACTTGTGAGGGCCATTTCAGACGGCATTCATGTAGCTGTGGGGGGGGGGGGGGGGAGTGGCCAGGTCATACCAGGTAAAGACAGCCGATTTCCTTCTCTGAAGGACACTGGTGAACTGGAACAGGTTTCACCATAATCGCTGATAATTTCTTTCAGTCAGAATAATTTTATAGCGTCCCTACAGTGCGGAAAGAGGCCGTTCGGCCCATCAAGTCTCCACCAATCCTCCAAAGAGCATCCCACTTGGACCCAATGCTGCAGTCTATCCCTGTAACACTAGGTGAATAATCCACCTAGCCTGCACATCCCTGGACCCTATGGGCAATTTAGCATGGCCAAACAAGCAAACCTGCACATCTTTGGCCTGTGGGAGGAAACCATTGCAACTAGAGGGAACCCGCATGGACATGGGGAGAACATGCAAACTCCACACAGACATTTTCCTGAGGCTGGAATTGAACCCAGGTCCCTGCTGCTGTGAGGCAATAGTGCTAACCACTGAGCCACTGTGTTGCCCCATATTTATAAATTTTTTTTGTTTGTTTATTTATTATTGTGTTTTGTTTATTTATTTTAACCATATTTGTTACTACTTATTTCATATTTGTTGGTTGAGGGACTCATGTGGACCCTCTTCCCCCCTTCTCTTCTTCCAAGTCAGGCCCTGGGACCCCTCACATCTGTTTGAGGGAGCAGTTAAGGGACCTCACCCTCACATCTCAGACAGGCAGCGCAATGCTACAGTGCATGTCATTAATGCATTGAGTCCCCTACCTGGAAGTCAGCTTGATCAAAAGGCTGGGCCCTCTAAAGGGTGAGAAGACTACAGAGGAGAATGCAGGCCAGGGATAGTCAGCAGGTTGTGGATGGTTTAGTGAGAGCGTGGCAAATAGCTGATGGTTCAGACGTTTTGATGGGATTGGGGTGGGCTGCTCTTTGGAGGGTAGATAATTTCTGATTCCAAGAGGGAATCTGGTAGCGAGGCAAAACATTAAGCTCAGTGGTGGAGAGGCAGGGAGGAAAGCAGAAGTCACTGTTAGCCAGAAGGAATCATTCCTGGTCCACAAGCTGTAAAATCCCCCTAACTGCTCCTTTTATCTGCCGGGTTCAATGACGCCTAGTCAACTTGGACCCACTGATGTGACCACTTCCGGCCAGCATGGTGTGGTTAGCTGCAGCTTTCTGTGTGATAGCCCACATGACATCTCCCACAGATATCTGGAAGTTTCTTAACAGCTGACCAATCCAACATCTCCGATTTACACACCACCTGGGTCATATGCTCACGTCGGTTGCTGTAATAAAACAAAATATGTCATTGATAGGCTGACTAACCGGCTGGTCAGCTGGCTGTTTACAAGCAAACCAATCACTGGAGTATACAGAGAGTTACAGGCAAACCCATATCTAGCTGTCTTAAAGGAACAGTGCCTTTCTAAGATCTGTATGCTGATTCAGCACCCACCATGGATAAAGCTGGGAAACAGCGTGAGTCTGTGGCTTGCAGCCTTGTGCTGGTGTTTAAAGAGGCAGCCTGATTCCTGAGAGCTTTACAACAAGAAGTGGGATGATCGGAGACAGGACTCAATTTGCACTCAATCGAATAGCTTCGGTAAGATGTCCCTGCTCTGCCAAAACTGTATGAGGCACTTCCTGATTAAGCTTACAGCCCTCCACTTAGCGTCAAAATATTGAAATGATACTTTCCATTTTAGTGAGCAGTAAAACGTAGGGATTAATGGAAACAATGAATCATGTTTGCAATCTCTGACATCTGTGTTAACATCAATGGGACACTTTGAAAATATTTCTTCTGATCACCTGAAAGATGGTTTTGTTGTGATTTCTCTCAAGATTGAGGAGATTCCTTGAAGCTAGTTTTTGGTTTCTTTAAAGCAGGCTGACGCTTGGGCAATATTCTTCTCCTTGAATAAGCACAAACTTTTTCTCGCTGGGTCCGCTCTCTCTCTTACTGAGCTATGGCCTTGATTGGGATCTTCCGGTTTCGGAATGTGGGTAAGATGCCGGGAAGGGAAACCCCTGAGAGAGAAATCCAGCAATCTGCAGCCAAATGGCCATCTAATGAAGAGATTCCTCCTCATCTCCATCTCAAACAGGGGACCCCTTCTGTTTCAGATGGGAGTGCTCGCTCCAGTCTCCTCCAGGAGGAGAAATGTCCTCTCAGTGTCCACCCTTCAGCTCTCCTCACATTTCAGGAAGTTGCCCTCTCATTGTCGGGTCAACTCAATTAAGTGTAGGCCCAACTTCTCACATGGAAACCCCTTCACCTCAGGAATTAACCCAGTGAGCTACACTCTACCTCATTTGCTTTTCTGCTTCATGGATCTCCGAGGTCCATGAGTGGAAGTCAATGCGTTTGCATTGGCATGGCGATTGGCATGTGTGGAACATTCCAGAGAAGCCACATAGCTTGTGTTTGCAGTGAGTCTTCCCTCTCTGTCCTTAGGTAGCGGGAGCAGGAGATCACAGTAATCTGGGTAACCAGCATAGTTGGAACAAGGCAACCCTAGTTTTGTACTCCCATCCCCTTGCAATAAAGACCAACATTTGCTGCCTTGACACTTTTTGTACCTGCTCTCCAGCTTTTTCTGATTCATCCCCAGGAACTCCCAGGTCCCTCTGCTCTGCAACGTTCTGCAATCTCTTTCCATTTAAACAATTATGGGCCAGACTTGATGGGCCAAAGGGCCTTTTTCTGTGCTGGACACCTCTGTGACTCTATAATGCTCTGCTTGTCTATTCTTCCTGTCAAAAGTCGTCAACCTCACAGTTTGCTAACCCACAAGCGAGAAAGTAAACAGAAGCATTGGACTATTGGCACATATCCCCTCCCCCAACACGGGCTCTCAGGCTCCTAGCAGTTTGGTTGGACTGGACAGCAGGCACAGGCTGGGGGAGGCGTTGGGGCCCGTATTGGTCTACCACCCAACGGTGCCTTGCCTGATTTGTCAGACGCAGCTGTCATTTGACCTTTGAAAGAATTGCTGCTCAGCTACAGAGGCACTCATGTAAAACCAGAGGAAATTGCTGGATTATTTTGAAAGGTCAACTTTGTTTCTTTCACAGAGTCTTGGCCGAATTAATGTAGTTGCTTCTCATTAAGTCTAGAGACCTGGAAGATTGGGGGATGTGGATGTTGTGCTGGAAAACTGCAAGGTAATTGAGTTGACAGAAACTCCTCATTAATCTCACAGTGCCATTCCCGGAGAGTTAAAATGTCAGGGCTCACTTTACAGAGTGAAAAACTTTATTAATCCCTCATCCACACAATTGTTTCCTCCAGTAACGGCCCTTTCCAACACCCACAAGCCCCCACCCCATCCATGACGGCCCCACTAACCCCCACCCCAGTGTCAGGGAAAATTATTCTGAGTTGATGAATTAAATTGCTGGAAAAACCCAATATGTCAGGCAGCATCTGTAGGGAAAGAGTACAGAATTCATGTTTCGAGTCCAGTGTGACTGTTCGTGGCAACTGCAGGATGCTGGAAAATGATAATATTTATGCTGTTGATACGGTAGGGTGGAGGGGTAAGTAGAACAGATGCAAAAACACCCCAGAGCAAAAGGCAAAGGGAAGGCTGATGCTAGCAGGGAGCGATATAGATGAAGCACAGATGTTAATGGTGGGAGTTAGAAACAGGAAGGTGTTGTACTGAGGACAAACTATATGCAAATGAGAAACACAGAGGAGGGAAGGGAATAATCAAAATGGATGACAGTGCTCATGCTCTGAAAGTGTTGAACTCTGTGGTGAGACCTGAAGGCTGTAAAGTACCTCAGTGGAAAATGAGGCACTGTCTCTTTGGCTTGTGCTGGACAGCAGGCCGAGCATGGAAACATCAGCATGAATGTCAGTATCACTGATCTGAGTCAACCGGAATCGACTGTATCACCAGGTGTAGACTGGTCTGTCAGTCAGAATCGACTGTGTCACCAGGCATAGACTGGTCTGTGTCACCAGGTATAGACTGGTCTGTGCCACCAGGAGTAGTCTATATCACCAGGCATAGGCTGGTCTGTGTCAGTCCGAATTGACTGTGTCACCTGGAGCAGTCCGCATTAGCAGGTATAGACTGGACTGTACCACTCACTGCCTGATATTTCTGCCTCTTTCTGCCTGCCTGGTGTCACTGTCCTGAGTGTGGCAGGAGGAGACGCTGTGCTTTGTAATCAACATTGAAGGAACAAATGCTAAACGAGCCTGTTAATGGGCAGCCCTGGGGGAGTGCGGGCAATTACATTTGAAAGACGCAAGGATCCAGCCGATCTGGTCTAATTGGTTTGTGATATTCAGAGAAATGAATCAAAACTCTATTTTCAGCATGAACAGTCGCTCATGAAGTTGTGACGTGTATGGAACGGATAAAGAGTAAACACTCAATTTAAACAGTTTAATTAACTCAGACTCAGCAGGGAGTCCTCAAGTGAGCACAGCAAATTCAGGAATGGCCGAGGGCTGGGAAGGGGGGAGGGTGGTGAATGGTGAGGAGGTGAGATCACAGTTCCTGACTGACCACACCCCACACAAATGCCGTCACTCAGTTCCCCGGGAAATGGATTAAGGACGACGTTAAGCACAGTTCACTGTGCACCAATCACAGCCTCAAGCCCCACCGATAGAAATTTGGCCCCCATATCCAGGGTAACGCTCCCAGAGAGTGAGTACTGCAGTGGCAGAGGGGCTGAGCTCCGGGAGAGGCCGAGATGTCTGCTACTGCGCTGCTTTGAAGCAAAGTGTGAGAGGTTCCCTGGAAGGCCTAAAAATGTTTCAGCTGCCCGCTCCCAAATCGTGTCACAAAGAAACTGTTCACTGCCATATTGCTGCGTGTGGGAGCTTGCTGTGCACAGTTTGGCTACCAGGCTTTACATTTCCAAACTTCACAGGCTGCCAAGTCTTGGGGAGATCCAGAGGTTGCGAAAGGTGCTGCACAAATGCGGCTTTCTCTCAGACAGGGAAGGCTAGGGAGTGACCTAACAGACGGCCTTGAACATTGCTAAAGGATTTGATTGCATGGAGCAAGATAAAGTCCTTCCAATTGTTGGGGGAAAGCAGAACGCTGGGCAATAAATGTGGGAGCATCGATAATAATAAATCGAATGAGGGCTATGAAAGAAACCCTTCCAGCCATAGTGTCCAGGGATGTGCAGGCTAGGTGGATTAGCCATGGGAAATGCAGTCCTACAGAAATAGGGTGCGGTGGGGGTGGGGTGTTGAATAGGATGGTCTTCGGAGGGCCAGTGTACACTTGATTGGCCAAATGGCCTGCTTTCACGCTCTAAGGATTCTGTGATTCTATGAAATGTCAGTGGATGCTGGTTCAGTTGTTAATTTTAAATCTGAGATAGATACATTTTGTTAAGCAAAGGTACTAAGGAATACAGGCCAAAGACAGGTGTATGGAGAGGAATCATAGAATCCCTACAGTGAGGAAACAGGCCCTTTGGCCCAACAAGTCTGCATTGACCCTCAGAGCACCCACCCAAACCCATTCCCCTATAACACGCCTAATGTACAAATCCCTGAACACTATGGGCAATTTAGCATGGCCAATCCACCTAGCCTGCACATCTTTGGACGGTGGGAGGAAACCGGAGCACCCAGTGGAAACCCACGCAGACACAGGGAGAATGTGCAAACTCCACACAGAGTCGCCTGAGGATGGAATTGAACCCGGGTCCCTGGCGCTGTGAGGCAGCAGTGCTAACCACTGTGCCATCGTGCCGCCCCCAAATTGGTGACCCTTCCTCACTGGACCCGAAACATGATTTCACTTCACAGATGTTGCTAGACCTGCTGACCTTTTCCAGCAATTTCTGTTTTTGTTTCTGATTTACAGCATCCGCAGTTCTTTTGGTTTTTATTTACAGGTATATGGAGTTAGGTCATGACCTCATTAAATGGTGGAACAGGCTCGAGGGGCTGAATGGCCATTCCTGTGTTCCTATGTGCTATAGATAGACCCACAATATTGTTTGGGAAGTTGTGCCAGGATTTTGATCAACCAGCACTGAAGGAATGGCGATATTTTCCCAATCAGGATGGTGAGTGAATTCTGGTCTCCCTGCTATAGAAAAGATGTTGTTCAACTTGAAAGGGTTGTGAGAAGATTTACAATGATATTACCAGGTTTGGAGGGTTTGAGCTGTACGAAAAGGCTGAATAGGCTGGGACTATTTTCTGTGGAGGGTCAGAGGCTGAGGAGTGGCCTTATAAAATTATGAGGGGCATGGATAGGGTTCAATAATCAAGGTCTTTTCCCCAGGGTAGGGGAGTCCAAAACAAAAGGGCGTAGGTTTAAGGTATCAGGGGAAAGATTTAAAAGGGAACCTATGGGGCAACTTTTTCACACACAGTGTGTTGGTGTATGGAATGAACTGTCAGAGGAACTGGTAGAGGCTGGTACAATTACAACATTTAAAAGCATCTGGATGGGTATATGAATAGGAAGGGTTTAGAGGGATTTGGGCCAAATGCTGGCATATGGGACTAGATTAGTTTAGGATATCTGGTCGGCATGGATGAATTGGACCGAAGGGACCGTTTCTGTGCTGAATATCTATGACTCTATGAGTGGCATAGAGAAGAACTTGCAGGCGGTTGTTCCCATATATCTGCTGCCTTTGTCCTTCTAGATAATAGAGATCACCAGTTTGAAAGGTGCTGTTTTATGCTCTTTGGTGAATTTCTGCAGTGCATCTTGTAGATAGTATACCCTGCTGCTACTAAAAGTCGATGGTGGAGAGAGTGAATGTTTGTGAATGCAGTGCCAATTAAGCAGGAGCTTTTTCCGTAATAGTGTCAAACTTCCTGAGTGTTGTTGGAGCAGCACTCTCCCAGGCACATAGAGAGTATTCCATCACACTCCTGACTTGAATAAAAGCAAAATATTGTGAGGGATACTGGAGATCTTAAATGAAGAGAGAAATTGTGGGAGAAATTCAACGGGTTTGACAGCATCTGTAGAGAAAGAGGCAGAGTTAATGTTTCAAGTCCAGTGACACTTCCTGGGGACACTCCTGACATGTGCCTTGTAGATGGTGGACATGCTTTTGAGAGTCAGGAGATGAGTTATTCACTACAATATTCCTAGCCCCTGACCTGTTCTTTTGGCCACTGTATTTATATGGTTAGTTCAGTTAGCTTCTGGTCCATGGCAACCCCCAGAATATTGCTAGCTGGGGATTCAGCAATGGTAATGCCATTGAATGTCAAGTGGCAATGGTTAGATTTTCTCTTTCTGGAGATCATCACTGGCTGACACTTGCATGGTGTCAAACTACTTGCTGTTGTCAGCCTGAGCTATAAATATGGTTGATAAGCCTTTTGGTTTCCTTCTATGTGGATCCACCATTTGAACTCTTTGCTGATTTTTCTTTGCTACTCACTGTCCAATTATATTGCTTTTTGTGTAAAATCTTCAACTGCATCAACTTCATTTTCTTTACCCAAGTCTCTTTGTGACATATGCCAGAGGCACAGAGAGAGATAATTGACTGTTGTGCTCTGTGGGTTGTACAGCAATGTGCACTCAAAGCACTAACAACAGCCAAGATTGGGATGACATTGACAATGTGTTCAATCTTCATTCTTGTGGTTGACAACATTGTCTCAGCCTCTTGCTGTGTTACTCCCAGTGCACAAGTCACAAAGTCTGTCTCAATGACCTGCTGCCTTACACCAGTGATACGGAGGACTCAACACGTGAAATATGATGAGGATTCATAAAGTGCACAGCACTTAACAGAACAAATCATTTTCTCTACCTGCTGAGTACCATGCATGGACAGGAGCTGGTGTTGAGACACGTGCACATCTGTGCACGCACATGTACACAGACAGGCACATGCACCCATACATGTGCATGCTCACATACAGAAGCATATACACAGAAATACACACAGGAGGCTATTGAAATTCAGCATGTCCATAAGGACACTCACTACCCTTTACAGATGCACCATAGAAATCATTCTATCAAGGTGCATCACAGTTTGGTATGGCAACTGCTCATGCCCATCTCCGTAAGAAAATTGTGAACACAGCCCAGACCATTACACAAGCCAACTTTCCATCCATTGACTCCATCTACACTTCACGTTGCCACAGAAAGGCAGCCAATGTCACCAAAGACCCCTCTCACCCCAGTTATAATCTCTTCCAACATCTGTCAGGTAGAAGATACAGAAGCTTAAACATGTGTACCAACAGATTAAAGAACAAGTTCTCCCCTGCTGTTATTAAACTTGTGAATGGACCTCTCAAATTTCAAATCTAATGTTGATCTCGCTTTTTGTGCATTTTCTTTGCAGCTATAATTTTGTATTCCTCGCACTGTTCAATCACCCTATGCTTTTTGTGACTTTGTATGCTATGATTTGCCTATATTGGACGCAAAACAAAACTTTTCACTGTACTTATGGACATGTGACAACAAAAATAAATCAGATCACGCACAGAGACATGCACACACACATGCAGAAGCATAAATACACACACATGCAGTTACACACACGTGTCCATACAGACACACACGTACAGGCACACATGCAGAAGCATATACACACATATGCAAGGACATACATGCATATATGTGACATCATACATAGAGAGAAACAAAAATGTAACATACTTAGATGCATGTACAAGGCACACACAGAGTAAAACGCCAGGCAGGAGTGAATCAGTGTTTTTTTTTAACCTGCATATTGTTGGTGCTGATCTTCGTACACACTGTTACAGGTTACAGTACGGAATGGGAGTGAATTACTAACCTATTACCCCAGTGTAAAGTGTACATGTGAAATGTGCAGACGTAGTGAGCTCTAACATTGCAGATGGGAGGAAGTGTACATGAGGTGCTCACATTCATGCGGAAGAGTTTTAACTGAGGCACGTGGAAACACAGAGCTACCAAGGTATAAAGTCCCCATGAGAAGAAGGCTAAAGAATTATGATTTGACTTTACCTCTGAAACCTCCAGTTCGAATCGCCTATTGGTGTCAAGAAGGGGTTTGTGAGATGACCTTCAGACAATCTCAATCTGGAGCTTTGTGTATATTTACAGTCCAGCTCAGCACCAGGACACAAGAATTCCTTGCATCACCAGGGATGTAGATCAAACAGTCAGGGGCCCTCCCATTGTCAGTGAGACTGAAGAACCTTGTTGTAGGGACAGTATGTCAACAGTCAGTTTCATGCGTGCTGTGTTTGATCGGGACTGTTGCAGAGCAGTATGAATCCTGTATTCTCCCCCTCCCTGACCCTCATGCTGAAGAGAGAGATGGGATAAGAGATGTCTTAGGTCCTGATCAGACATCCCTCTGTACTGATGATTTCACTCAATCAGAAACTCAGTCACAAAGATTATGGTCTGTCTCTTCCACATCTCCCTGACTGAAAGCATTAAGAAGGCTATGGCACAGGGTGTTAATCACTCTGATCGCACTCAGTTCCACACCACCATAATTCTGGCCACCTTAGGTCCCTGAGGACTGACTGTCTGTCTCTCCATTCAGTACCTACTCCATGTGTAGAAAAAGCAGTTTACCCCTCAGCAGACTCTCGTAAACATACATGACAACCAAGTGTGAAGCTGATGGATAGAGTTACATCAAACTCGTTGTCTAGAGACAGGCTGTTTAGCCCAACTAGCCCATGCTATGCTTACACTCCATAGAAACCTCCTCCTACTTCTTTGTATTGAAATCTTATTAATGTAGTCTTCTCTCCTTATCTCCGCAATGTGTTTATGGAATCATAGAGATCCACAGCAGAGAAAAAGGCCCTTCAGCCTGTCGAGTCTGTACCTGTCAAAAACAAACTCCTAACTGTTCGAATCCCATTTTCCACCACTTGGCCCAAAGCCTTGTAGGCCTTGGCATTTCAAGTATATCTTTAAATGCATCTTAAATGTCCAGCTCCCTGCATCAATGCATTTATACCATTCACCTCAATTAAATCTTCTGCTCATGAACTTGACATTCTCACCAATCTCTGGTTAAAGAGATTTGTCATGAAGATCCCAGTGGATTTATTAGTTACTATCTCCAGCTGTTCCTCTTTTTATTTTGGCTCACCTTAGACAGCACCTTCTGAACCTGTGACCTACACCTCAAGGGCAGCAGATATATGGGAACACCATCACCTGCAAGTTCCCCTCCAAGCCACTCACCATCCTGACTTGGAAATATATCACCATTCCTTCACTTGCTGGATAAAAATCCTGGTATTCCCTCCCTGACGGCATTGTGGGTCAACCTACAGCAGGTGGACTGCAGCGGTTCAAGAAGGCAGCTCACCACCACCTTCTCAAGGGCAACTAGGGATTGGCAATAAACGCTGGCTTTTTTTTAATTGATGAGGGCATCGCTGGCTAGGCAGCATTTATTGCCCAGATGGCAGTTAAGAGTGAACCACATTGCTGTGGGTCCGGAGTCACATATAGGCCAGACCAGGTAAGGATGGTAGTTTCCTTCCCTAAAGGACATTAGTGGGATGTTCCTGACAATCAACAATGGATTCATGGCCATCATTGGATTCTTAATTCCAGATATTTATTGAATTCAAATTCCACCATCTGCCATGGCGGGATTTGAACCTGGGTCCCCAGAATGTTGTCTGTTCTCTGGATTAACAGTCCAGCGATAATACACCAGGCCATCACCTCCCCAGCCAGTGATGCCCATGTTCCATGAAAGAATAAATTTAAAAAGTGGAAACTCCTTTTCCATGTCTAACCGACCAAACCCTTTCAGAATCTTAAAGGCCTCCACTCCCTCAGCATTCCCAGGAGCTGGCGGTATACCTTGGAGTGAGATAAGATTAAATCAAACAGTAATAGTAATTTATTGTTACATGTGCTGAAAATACAGTAAAATGAGTATAAGTTAACATAATCCAATGCCATTTTAATTAGATAAATTATAAAAAGAAATAATTCACACAAAGTTTAGACAAATTTCTTTTTTTGTTCCATTCACAGCTTTTTGATTTCCTATGAGCCTCTGGGACACCGTCTTGCTCTGCAGCTGCCAAAGGTGTCCCTGAGGACGCAACACCGAGGAGGAAGCACGCTGAAGCAGCGCCCAACGCAACTGACCGGACTCAGAATGCCACCTCTTCCAAAGCTGCCTCATTGCTAGTGATACTCCAGCCACAGCCATAGCCAGGAGACTGTCCCAACTCTGGGGGATCAGGGCCCATCTCAACTTCTGAGAACAAATTGACCATCCAAATGAATTCCCAAGAACTGATTGAATGTCCAAATTAACTTCCGAGGACAGAGGGATCATTCCATCTGCTGCCATTACAGATGCCGCAGAAACACCAGAGAAAAGGAACGACCTCAATTCATCAACACTGGAGCTGTCTGCAACTGCCATGGCCATGAGAAACGGATATCCACTCACTAGCTCCCAGTATCCTCTCTCCACCACCACAGCTGCAGAAGGAAAAAAAGATGAATTTGATTCCAAAGTTTAAAAGTAAAAATAGAAGAATCAGTTATGCGGGAGGGAGAGGAGAGGCTGGGAGCCTGAATACCTTCTACCCTGCCACCTCCGCCATCTTGTAAAGTTTGGAGTTTTCCAAAGTTAAAGGGTGCTGTGGAAAGGGGAAGGACCTGCCTGACTTTTCTGAAACCAATATCACGCTGTCAGGCTCCTGCCTTCAACTGTTTTGTGTTGAAGTCTGTTCAGTATTGTTGCTCACTGTGTTTGATTTATTCAGCCTGGGTGTGGACTCATGGGAAGTGATCTAAGTTGTACAGCTGGAACATGGAGCAGACCTTTTAAAGCTTTGTGAATAAAACCTGTTACACACAGTGATAGTAGTGTCATTGCTGCATAGATCAGAGATTTAAAATCCATAAGGGAGGCACGTTAGTGTTTCCAATGCATTGTACATCCAAAGAAAGTTTCATTATGTCAGCACTTTTTGAACATTCCGTCTTTGAAATACCTTTGAAGTGTAGTCACTGCTGTAACATGTGAAAAGCTGCAGCCAATTTGTGCACAACATACCCCCTGATTGGTTCACAAAGTTGGGGTTAGGTGCAAGTCCAGGGAAAAGGTTGAAATCTAAGCTGGCTTTTCCAATACAATTCTGTGGGTGTGCTGCACTTGCTGTAATGTTAAAAATGCTTGCTTCAGGATGCAATGTGAAACTGAAGCCCCAAGCCAACCTCTCAAGTGGAGCCCAAATGTTCCCACAAGCAATATTTAAGAGTTAAGCAGTCGAATTGTTGAGCAACCCCAGGCCAATATTTATCACTCAAACAACATCGCTAAAGAACACGTGGCCACTTGGTAATACAGAACCTGGGGAGGCTGCCGGCAAAAGGGACTGTTATTCAAACTTCTTTATGTTGCATTCATTCATCAGGACAGAATCACAAGAACACAAAATCTCAAAGGGGACAACAATTTATTCTCCATGAGAAGAGTGTGATGATTGGTTGGCAAGTGGGCTCTGAGTGGTAAGAAGTGTTGCCTTGAAGGAGGTACCAGAAAACAGTTAACTCCAGCATTTTTGTCAAAATTCAAACTAGGCATCCAACTCTGAACGGTCAAGTCATTACTCTGGGGCACATACCAGGGAATGGCATCCCATAATTTCTTGTTCATTTGTAAAAGATTCAATGAGTGCATATATTATAACATAGAACTGTACAGCACAGGAACAGACCCTTTGGCCCATATTGTTTTGCAGAACATGATCCCCAATTATTTCTGTTTGTGATGAACAGGACATGTGGGTAGCTACTAGAACACATATGTGAGCCTCTCTACATACTGAAATGAGAACCTTGAACTAATAGTTCATGTGATCGTTAGCGCAATTGGAATTGTTTAGAAACTACCACCCAACAGCAGAATCACATTTAATACTGAGCATTAGGTTCCATGCTTTGCAAGCAGAGCTGGTAGCTGAATAAAATAAAAAGGAGATCACTTAGCACATTGTTAATCTTTGGAGCTTGCTATGTGTAAATTGAGTCCGGCCTTTTCCTGCATCATAACTCTGACTGCATTCCAAAGACAGCTTCATTGGGATGGCCTAAGACGTTTTATTTCTATTCATTTCTGGGCATCGCTGGCTGGCCAGCTTTTATTGTCCATTCCTCGTTGCCCTTGAGAAGGTGGTGGTGTTTCCATATGTCTGCTGCCCTTGTCCTTCCAGATGGAAATGGTTGTGGGTTTGGAAGGTGCTGTCTGAGGATCTTTGGTGAATTTCTGCATTGCATGTTGTATATAGTACACACTGCTGCTACTGAGCGTCAGTGGTGGAGGGAGTGGATACTTGTGGATACAGTGCCAATCAAGCAGGCTGCTTTGTCCTGGATGGTATCAAGCTTTTTGAGTGTTGTTGGGGCTGCACTCATCCAGGTAAGTGAGGAGTATTCCATCACACTCCTGACTTGTGCCTTGTAGATGGTGGACAGGCTTTGAGGAGTCAGAAGGTGAGTTAATTGCCGCAGTATTCCTAGCTTCTGACCTGCTCTTACAGCCACTGAGTTTATGTGGTGAGTCCAGTTGACTTTCTGGTAAATGATAACACCAGAATGTTGATAGTGGGGGATTCAGTGTTTGTAACACCATTGAATATCAGGGGGTGGTGGTTATATTGTCTCTTATTGGTGATGGTCATAGCCTAGCATTTGTGTGGCACGAATGCCACTTGCTACTGGTCAGCCCAAGCCTGAATATTGTCCAGAACTTGTTGCATTTGTACATGGACTGCTTCAGTATCTGAGGAGTCACAAATGGTGCTGAACATTGTGCAATCATTGGCAAATATCCCCACTTCGGATCTTATGATAGAGGGAAGGTCATTGATGAAGCAGTTGAAGATGGTTGGACTGAAGACACTGCCCTGAGGAACTCCTGCAGAGATGTCCTGAAGCTGAGATGACTGACCTCCAACAACCACGGTCATCCTCCTATGTGTCACGCATGACTCCAACCACTGGAGAGTTTGTCCCCTAATACCCATTGATTCCAGTTTTACTCGGGCTCCTTGATGCCACACTCCGTCGAATGCAGCCTTGATGTCAAGGGCTGTCACTCTCACCTCACCTCTGGAATTCAGCTCTTTTGTCCATGTTTGAACCAAGGTTGTGATGAGGTCCAGAGAGGAGTGGCCCTGGTGGAACCCAAACTCAGCATCACTGAGCAGGTTATTGCTGAGCAGGTGCTGCTTGACAGCACTGTTGATGACACCTTCCATCACTTTACTGATGATCGAGATTAGATTGATGGCCGGGATGGATTTGTCCTGCTTTTTGTGTACAGAGATATTTGGGCAATTTTCCACATTGCCAGGTAGATACCAGTATTGTAACTGCACTGGAACAGTTTGGCTAGTGGAGCAGCACACTCTGTAGCACAAGTCTTCAGTACTATTGCCAAATATTGTCAGGGCCCTTAGCCTTTGCAGTATCCATTGTTTCCAACCGTTTCTTGATATCAAATGGAATGAATCGAATTGGCTGAATATTGGTATCTGTAATGCTGGGGACCACTGGAGCAGGCTGAGATGGATCATCCACTCGGCACCTCTGGCTGAAGTTTACTGTGAATGCTTCAGCCTTATCTTTTGCACTGATGTGCTGGGCACTTCTATCATTGAGGATGGTGATATTTCTGGAGCTTCATCCTCCAGTCAGTTGTTTAATTGTCCACCATCATTCACGACTGGGTGTGGCGGGACTGCAGAGCTTAGATCTGATCTGTTCGTTGTGAGATTGCTTAGCTCTGTCTATCATTTGCTGCTTATGCTGTTTGGCGTGCAAGTTTGGCTGTTTGGTGGCTTCACCAGGTTGACACCTCATCTTCAGTTATGCCTGGTGCTGTTCCAGGTATACCGTCCTGCATTCTCCACTGAACCAGGGTTGATCCCTTAGCTTGCTGGTAATGGTTGCATGGGGGATATACAGGGCCATGAGGCTACAGATTGTGCTGGAATACAATTCTTCTGCTGTTGATGGCCCACAGCATTTCATGGATGCCCAGTCTTGAATTGCTAGATCTGTGCAAAGTCTGTCCCATTTAGCACAGTGATAGTGCCACACAATACAATGGAAGTTATTCTCAATTTAAAAGCAGGACTTTGTCTCCACAAGGACTGCGCGATGGTCATTCTTACCGATACTATCTTGACAGATGCAACTACAGATTGGTAAGGATGAGGTCAAGTATGCTTTTCTCTCTTGTTGGTTCACTCACCCACCTGCTGCAGACCCAGTCTCGCAGCTACGTCCTTTAGGACGCGACCAACTCGATCTGTAGTACTGCTGCTGAGCCACTCTTGGCGAAAGATGAAGCAAGAGTTTGTTTTTCCTCACTCCCTTGACTGACAGTGTACTTCAGTGAGTTAAACAGAGTTGTGGTGATTTTGAAATTCAAATGCTCAAAGGTTTGCTGAATGGTGTAACGATTCAGCGACTGGGTACTTTGATCAGTGTAATGTGGTAAATTCTCAGCTGGGAGATGGATGGAGCTTAAGGAAGATGCAGATGATTTATGGTAATTTCTGCCTCATTACTTCAGTTATTTATACCAGGTTGCAGGTGCTGGATCCTGAGCAGAGAGAATGTGTGCTCCATATTCATTAATCTGTGAGAATGAATCCTGCAGTGCTTCACCAGCGTGCCTTTGAGGGTCTGAGATTAAAGTGCAGTTTGCTGCTTACTCAACATCATCGATCATAGTTTGAGCTCAGCAATAAGAAAACAGTGCTCATTGCGGTTAAAAATAGAGATGGAGCTGGAGTCTGCCTCAGACAATCTGCTGCCATCTCAGTCTTCCTTTCAGCCCTTGTTTATTGCTCTCCTCCAAGACTTCAAACCCTTCTTCCCTGACTGCAGTCTCTGTCTCACTGCCATGTCCTTCAATTCTCTCAGTCTTTTCATCAGCATCTTCTCCTGTGTGTTCATCAGTCCTTATTTTAAGACCATAAGAGCAGGAGAAACAGGATCGGGACACAGGAGTAGACTATCTAGTCCCTCGGACTTACTCGATAGATTAGGTGAATAGCAAAGGGCTTTTACCCAGGGTGGGGAAGTTCAAAGCTAGAAGGCATATTTTTAAAGTGACAGGAGAAAGGTTTAAAAGGGACCTGAGAGGTAACTTTTTCCACACAGAGGTGGTTTGTATGTAGAATAAACTGCCAGAAGAAGTGGTAGATGCAGGTACAATTTGGACAGGTACATAAATAGAAAAGGTTTAGAGGGACATGGGCCAAATGCAAGCAAATTTTTATTTTCTTTATTCATTCACAAGATAAGGGTGTCACTGGCTAGGCAGCATTCATTGTCCATCCCTAATTTCTCAGAAGGCAGTTAAGAGTCCACCACATTGCTGTGGGTCTGGAGTCACATGTAGGCCAGACTAGGTAAGGATGGCAGTTTCCTTCCCTAAAGGACACTGGTAAACCAGATGGATTTTTCCCGATAATCGATAATGGATAATAGATTCATGGTCATCATTAGATTCTTAGTTCCAGATTTTTTTTTAAATTCAAATTCCACCATCTGCCATGGCAGGATTTGAACACAGGTCCCCAGAACATTTTCTGGGTCTCTGGATTAGCAATCCAGCAATAATACCACTAGGCCATCACCTCCCCTCTATGACACTATTTTAGTTTGTAAACTTAGTCGACATGGATGAACTGGACTGAAGGGTCTGTTTCTGAGCTGTAGGAGTTTATGACTCTATGACCTTTCAAATGATCACGGCTAAAACACCTTATCCCCAAATTCCTACATTCTCTTTGAGTCCCTAACATCCATTGATCTAAAGTCTCTGTCTCGAAGCACCT